CGCTCTTCTACCTGCAGTACCTGCCATGTTCTTGTCCCTCCTCCTCCTGCCCAGTCACCCTGTGTTTCCATCAGACATTGCTAGGAGAGAACTGTAGTCCGTCTCAAAACTGCAAGTGCAGGCGCCCCTTGGAGATACTGCGGGTTCAGCTCCAGATCACAGCAGTACAGCAAGTCACACAAATGGTGTGGGTTTCCCAGTGCATGTAAGTCATGTGGACACACAGTACTGTAGTCTGTTAAGAGTGAAGAGCATGATGTAAACATCTGAAATATTGTGAGAGTGACCAAAATTGGACACAGATTGACGTGCTATTAGGAAAATGGCACTGCTTGACATAGGGCTGCCACAGCCTTCAATTTGTATAAAACTCACTATCTGTGAAGTGCAGTAAAATGAGGTATACCTGCCCCAGGAGAGGAGGCTTTGTTGGCAGGGTATGGGGCCTCCTAGACCCAAGGGCAGCATGTTGAGCTGGGCATCGTGGCACCGTGAGGGGCTGAAATCGGGAAGTGAAATAACCATGATTGTATCCGGGCCTTGGGGTCTCTGCTTCTTTCTCCCTGTGGGTCTGCTTGTTCTGCCCTCTGCAGATTGGTCTCAGGGAGTTGATAGCAACAAGTGGCCACCTCAGGCCTCACCCCTGGAGACCCCCAGACATTTTTGTCTCTGCTTCTCTCTGCATGCTGTAACATTTCTGTGTGTTTCTTTCTGGCCAGCTGACCATCTTTGTGTGTGTGTTCATGGGCCAGGAGGAGTCCCTGCCCTGAGCCTGCACTTCCCTTAATGTGGTAACCCCGGTTCCCAGCACAGGCTGACTAGCCTGAGACCTGCAGTTCCATGAGAGAGGGCTTGACTTGTGTGGGTCAGGTACCCTGTAGCCTAGCTAGCAGTGTCACAGGCAATGCAGTGTTCTTCAGGAAGGGGGTTTACTGTCAGTACCTCAGCTCGTCCTGAACAGCACAGCCTCAGTGCAGAGGCTGCCTTGACTCCTTACAATGTCATTGCTTCTTGTCCTCAGCCTGGGCCATGATCTTCCACAGACACGTTTCCCTCTTTCCAGCTTGTTCTTTACTGTTAGGTGAAAGTTCTCATTTCTGACTGAGTCTCTGTGTTGTTAGTTGATGTTGAATTCTGACTCAGTGTCCCCGTGCACAGCAGAACAAAACAATGCAGGTCATGTGCCATCTTCATGATCAGTGTGGCTGCTGTGTTTTTTGGTTTTTGGTTTTTAATATTTTATTGTGATTTAAGTGAAAGTTTACAAAGGAAATTAGTTTCACATTCAGCAGTTTACACACAGATTGTTCTTGACATTGGTGGCAGTCCCCACAGTGGGTCAGCACTATCCCTAGTCCCATCCTGGGTTCCCTGTTTCCGTTCCCCCAGTTTTCCTGCCCCTGCCCGCCTTCTCAACTTTCCCTTTGGGCACATGCTGCCCTCTTGGTCTCCTGTAGTTGATTGTTCTGAGGAGCACATTCCTCCCACTGTGACTGTTCCCTCCTGCTGTCATTATTCCCTCCCACTGTCACAGGTTCCTCCCACTGTCACTGTTCACTTCATAGGCCTGTCTTTCATGTGGCTGAAACGTGATCCCCTGAAGAGTGGCTTTAGTTCTAAATTAGAAGGCTGTCTTAGGGCCATGGTCTCGGGAGTTGCACCAGTCTCTGTCCGTCCAGTAAGCCTGGTCTTTTTCTATGAATTTGAATCTTGTTCTACCTTTTTCTCTCACTCTGTCTGGTACCATTTGTTGTGATCCCAGTCAGAGCAGTCAGTGGTTGTAGCTGGGCACCATCTAGTTCTTCTGGTCTCAGGTTAGTGGAGGCTCACGTGCTCCGTTAGTCCCTTGGACTAATTGTTTCCTCAAGTCTTGGGTTTTCTTCACTCTTCTTTGCTCCAGATGGAAGAAGGCAAACAGTTGTAATGGCATTGTATATTTTGAGTGTCTCCCTGCACTAGAACAGACAAAGTTCAGTTGTGATGCACAGGGTTTTTCACTAGCTCATCTGTGGAAGTGGATCACCAGGCCTTTCTTCCTACTCTGTCTTAGGCTGGAAGCTCTGCTGAAACCTGTCCACCATGGTATTTGAAATACCAGTGACTTAGCTTCCAGCCTCACAGCCACATGCAGCCCCCACAGCATGACAAGCTGACATGGGTGGTCGCTGTGTCTCTAGTGCCTCTGTAATTGTGGCTAATTCCCCTTTCACCCTGAGCGTGACACCTGACTTTGGTGGGACTGAATAGCATTGTTTTGGTTTCATTGTTGCATTTTGGTGGTAACTTTCTACTTGTAGCAGGTGAAACTGGTTTGTAAGTTTATTGAAGCAATATGAGATGCCCTTTTTTAGTAAATATGTTCATAAATAAATTGGTAGTGTACAGAGAAGCAATGAATAGTAATGGGTGTAGGTAGTATTCCGTGAGCAGGTGCCCCTGTGCCCCACAGCTGCATCCCATGGAACAGTCTGAGTTCTAGAACAGGAAGCTCAAGGAGCCTGGATGCTGCCTAGACAGACAGACAGCACTGCCTTTGGCAACCTATGATGGTCTAGGATGGTTTTCCTCATTGGTTTCTGGGTAACACATCAGCTTTTGTTACTTTTGCTTGGATAAGAGCAGCCTCATTCCAGAGTCACACCCCCTGACTGGACTGAGATGAGTCTTGGAAGCTTTACTGAAGTCCTCATGTCCACTTTCTTTTCCCACGAACAGGGACACCTCCTCCCAAACCAGAACTAATCTCCCACCTGGAGCTCGGACAGGAGCTATGGACAACAGAGAGAGGCCTGGCTCAAAGCTCCTGTGAAGGTGAGCCCCACGTGCTGGCCAGGTAGGGTCATGGCAGCCTGGGCTGTGGGGGGACCTCTGCCTCTGGGATGTCCTGAGACTCATGTTCACCCTGTGGGGCCTGGCTGGCTGTGCCTCCCCTGACATGTGATGTACTGCCTCGGAGGAAGAATCTGTTGTGTTAAGTAGAGTCAGGCTTTAGTCCCCAATGGCTTCCTCTTGGAATTTGGCTTTGCCACCACCCCCACCCCTCACCCCCAGCCTATAACCCAGTGCTCTTGTTTCTTCCCTCAATTGCCAGCAAGTCGATTCCAGCTCATGGTGACCCCTTTGTGTAGGGTAGAATGGTTTTCTTTTTGAACCATTTCATAAAAACATATTTATTTTGTGGTTGAGAAAACACACAGAAGAGCGTCCAGCAGTTCACCAACTCTCCATGTACCTACCATTCAGTGGCATTGCTAGCATACAGCAGTTCACCAGCTCTCCATGTACCTACCATTCAGTGGCAATGCTAGCATACAGTAGTTCACCAGCTCTCCATGTACCATTCAGTGGTGTTGCTGGCATTCCTCCACTCATGCAGACATCTGCACTCTCCTTTTCTGAGTTGTCTCTCCCCCATCTACAGACTCACTGAACCCTAAAGTTCATACCTAATCTCCAGTTGCTGTGGTTAATGTGATCCCATGTGGCTAGTTCTTAGAGCACATGCTCAAGGCAGACATTCTTCACTAGTTAAGCTAAACTCTTGTTGGGTTTTAAGAAGACCCCAGGGGATATTTTTGGTTTAAAGTTGAAAGATTATCTTGAGGTGATGATTTCAGGGATTCATCCAGCCTCCATGCCTCCAGAAAGTCTGCAGTCCACTCCATGGGGTTTGCAGTGGCTATTTTCTTCTCAGAGGTTGATCACCAGGCCTTTCTTTTGAGGCTTCTCTGGGTGGATTCAAACTGCCAGCCTTTCAGTTAGTGGCAAGGGATTTAACCATTTGTACCACCCAGGCTTCAGTGTCATATATTTAAACGAATAACATGCACTATCTATGTTTGTTTGACAGCTCCTCCCCCCTCCTGTGAGGTATTTTTGTGAGTTGTGCTGAATTTTTTCTTTTTGTCAGAGGAACATGTAAAAAGAAAATTGGCATAGCAGCACTTTAAAAAAATATGGGGTTGGTGTGGTTTGCAAACAAAACATAGAAGGCATGAGTTATGCAATGTTTGTTTAAAATGTTTTATGTAAGGCAGGCTCAATTTAAGGTAGCTGCTGTAGCTAGTAAAGTTCAGAATACCGTGGCTGAATGCATGACAGCATCTCGTGGCTTCGTGGAGGAGGTCTGTCTCCATGGGCAACAGTGCCGTCCCACTGCCTCTGTCTGGCTGCTCTGTGCGGGCTCATGGGCCACCTCCTTGGGCACCCTCCCCACCTGCATCCTCTTTCCCATCTGGCCTGAGTTAGGGGCCTTGGCAGTGCTCGGAGTGTACAATCAGACACCCCTTAGAGCACACACGCTGAAGATCTGTTATGCTCACTCTTCCCAACTGTCCCCACTGTGGTCTCTCAGGAGCTCTCTCCCCTGCAGAACCCCTGTCCCTGGCTCCAGCCTCTTCCAGGCTTTTCTTTCTCAGGCGTCAAGAGTTATAAAAGAAAGAACTTTGCAAACCTGAGTGTCACTGACATGAAAACATTGTAGACCCCAGAGGCACCTGTTGCATCTTCAATCTTCTAGCTCAAGTGATGCTTTTGTTCTTCTCTGTTGGCATCACTAACAGGTCTCTTTGTATATTGTATTCACTTCCAGGTGACAAAACACAGCCCAAGACCCCACAGCCTACTGCTTGTCAGCCAGCGATGGCTGATGGAGCCCGACTGCAGGAACGACCAGCTCAGGGAGGCTCAAGGGCCTCCAGGTTGGTTCAAATGGGAAGACAGAAAAGCCCAACAGAAAACCAGGAAAGGCATTTGAGAAAAAGAGTCGTGTCCCACAAGGAGATCCACTGTGGAGGGATGAGCCTTGAACTCAGCACTGTGCGGACACGTGGTAGTCTGTACTCAGGGATACAGGTCTCTCCAGGAGACACTCGCTGTGAGCGGAACTCAGAAGGACCAGGTAAAGACATGTTAATTGACACAGGGAGGAGCCCCTGTGAATGCCAACAGTGTGGGAGAGCATTCAGCAGGAATTGTCTCCTGATTAAACATCAGCGGAGCCATGCTGGCGTGAAGCCCTATGAGTGCAATGAGTGTGGGAAAGCCTTCCGTGAGAGAGCAGACTTTGTTCGACACTTGATGATCCACACCGGAGAGAAGCCGTACAAGTGCACTGAGTGTGGGAAAGCCTTCAACCGCAGATCCTACCTCAGCCAGCACCAGCGGATCCACACCGGGGAGAAGCCCTATGCATGCACTGAATGTGGGAAACACTTCACTCAGCACTCCAATCTTGTACAGCATCAGAGGACCCACACTGGAGAAAAACGCTTCTCTTGCAAAGCGTGTGGCAAAGCCTTTTGTGACAGCTCTTCCTTAAGTCGCCACAAGAGGATTCATGCCGACAAGAAGCCGTATGAGTGCAGTGAGTGTGGGAAGGTCTTTGCCCAGCTCTGTGCTTTTGTGGGTCATCAAAGGACCCACAGTGGAGAAACACCTTTTGAGTGCAAAGAATGTAAAAAAACCTTTTGTTACAAATTTTCCTTAACACAGCACATGTGGGTCCACACCGGGAAGAAGCCCTTTGAGTGCAGCGAGTGTGGGAAGGCCTTCAGCCTCAGGGTAAGACTGAGCCAACATCAGAAGATCCATACTGGGGAGAAACCTTACCAGTGCCCAGAATGTGGAAAGGCTTTCAGCTTCAGCTCAAAGCTCAGTCGCCATCGAAGGATCCACACTGGAGAGAAAGCTTTTGTTTGTGGGAAGTGTGGAGCAGCCTTTGGCCAGAGGGCTTACCTTACCCAGCATCAGTTAACTCATCGTGAGGAAAGACATTTCGAATGTAATCACTGTGGGAAATCGTTTGGCTGGAAACACCATCTTACTCGCCACCTGAGAATCCATACTGAAAAACTACATTAAGGGACATCTCTGTCGGTCTTCATAGTGGTGGGTGGACCATGAGTAAATATTCTTCTCTGTACTCATCTAATAGGACTTTTGGAGTTGATGATATTTTAATATTACAGGTAGTTCCCAACTTATGACGTATTTGAGATATGAATATGGCAGGCTACACTTACGACCATCCTTTGTATTGGTGCATCTTATTAGTAATGTGTTTTACATGTAATGTTGTAGTATATAATTTGCTGATGTTAGAGTCCTCATGCCAGCCCCAGAAGAGAAAGACCAAATTTATAAAGGTAAACTCATGGATAATAAATTACCAGTAATAATTTTTTTTAAAAATGGGGTATTCAACTTATGGCAGAACTAACTTAGAGTTATCCAGGACAGAGCCCCATCAGAAGTCAGGGACCACCTGTACTTTCCATTTGGTTTTGTACCTCTAGGGAATACCTGGAAGAGTATGGGGGGCTCTGGGGACAACTGGGTACCACACTGGGAGCACAGCAGCTCTTGGGAGATGGGGCACTGTCATGTAAAAGTGCTGGGACTTGCCTATTGAGAGCCTGAAACCCCAGAACAGTGGTGAGTCACAGACAAGTGCCAGGAACCCAGGTAAGCAAGCACAGAGTGTTGATCTTACAGGCTGGGTGTTCGTCAGCATTCTGGTGGGAAGGGGCCACCCACTGAATTTGAACTTTTAGCTTCCTGAACTGTGAGAAAATAAAAATTTCTGTTCTTTAGAACCACCCACTTAGATTTCTGTTAACAGTGGCACTAGTTAACGTAGATGGTCTCTGCCGGGTTAGGAGATGAAGTACTTTGGGAAAATCTGAATTATTGCTGATTTTGAAGATGGAGGAGGAGACCACATGTCGGTGGATATGGGTGGCCTCTAGAAGTAGGGACAACTTCTGCTGACAGCAAGAATATGGGAATCTCAGTCCCCCAGCTGCCAAGAATTTGTGCTCCATTTCTTGATGTGTTCATGAAATCTGGCCATATGTCATTTTGGATCACCTTATTTGCAGGGGTGAAGGATGTGGTATGGGGATGTTGTGGCTAAAGTAGCAGTCAGGCTTGTTTACCACCTCTGGGGAAGTCTGAGGGCTCAGTCCTTGGTTGGGATCCTAAAGGGGCAAGGTCAAAGTCAAGTGTGGAGGGAAGTGAGTCTCTGACCTGGCACGGAGTGATTCTAAGCTACCTAATGCTTGGCTTGGAGAGTTAGGCTCATTCCTGCATCCCTAGGCTCTTGGCATTGGTGGACTCCCAGGAGCCATTGCAGCCCTTTGGGAGCCTGGACTTGGGCTCTCCTCTATTCCAGCTGACCTGGTGATCAAGGGCAGATGATTACATCCAAGGCCCAAGAATTTCTTTGTTAAATGTGGGGACTGATTCGGGCATCAAACCAGTTCACAGTGGTTCAGTGATCAACACTGTAAACAAGGGCCATGGAAGTGTTGCAGAGCAAACAAATCTGTTGCCTATGGTATTTTGACCCAAGTAGGAAACTAACAACTGTTGCTCTCAAAGTGGTGTGATTTGCTCTCAAAGATGGCAGTCAATCACACCACTTTGAGTGTGTGTTGCTCTTCAGAGTCCTGCCAGTAATCCAGTCTCCAACATCAGGGTCCTGAAACTTTCAGGGGGAAGGACTGAAAACTTTGGAGAGCAATGTTATTGGCAGGACTCAAGAGCGACACACATTTGAAGCTGCCATCTTTGAGTGGGACACAGCTGTTAATTTCCTACTTGGGTCAAAATACCGTAGGCAACAGATCTGGTTGCTATGCAACACATATGTGACCCTTGTTTACCACAGGGATTATAGAACTTGTTCAAAGCCCTGTTCTAATTCTATACAGAGCAGTGGGATGGGGAGATGGGGGCAGGGGTAGAAGGGGAAAGGTCACTCTAGGGCAGGGAGTTGTTAGGGGCAGACAAGTCAATTCCAGCTCATAGTGACCCCCTTGGGAGAGAACTGCCCCATAGGGTTTCCTAGACTATAACCCTCATGGGAGCACATTGGCCAGATCTTTCTGCCATGGAATTGCTGGTGAGTTCAAATCACCAACCTTTGGTTAGCAGCAAAGCACTAAACCATTGCACCACCAGGGCTTCTTGGCCAGGCAGTAGGATGGGGCAATTCTAGAGGGTTTTCAAGTGATGGGGCATGAGGTTGGGTGGCTGAGTTCCACAGTCCTGTTGTCATGTGCCTAGAACCTCAGCTGGGGAGAGTCCAGGAAGACAAGGGGCAAGAATGAATGGCCAGGACTCCAGCATCTCACTGCACAGTCTGGGCCCTGGAGTCTCCACTCCTGCTAGTCCCTTCCTGTCTGGTGACCATCAACACTGACCGCTGGGCTGTCTGCTCCTGCTCCTGCCCCATCCCTGAGTTCAAGTTCAGACACAGGTTTCTGGCCACTTTCTCACCCTCCAACCTCCCTCAAACTATCCATCTCGGCCTGAGGCAGGATCTGCTGTGAACCATACACTTCTACCTCACTGTGGCTCCCACCTTCATTTCCAGGTTTACCTGTGGTTGCCCGGACAACTGAGGTCCAGGTGGCCTTGGGGAGGATGGCTGCCATCAGGACGTGAAGCACTGCAAGCATTAAGAGGTCAGTGAGCTGGGGAGATGGGGCAGGAAGCAGAAGGGTGAGGACTGTGAGGGTCTATCACACCACGGCAGGCAGCTATTAAGTGTCATTGAGTCAGTTCCAGCTCGTAGTGACCCCATAGGACAGCAGACATGCCCATAGGGTGCCCATGCGGTATTGTGAAATGCTACGTGTGACGCCAGCACCTGCATGGAGGGCAGCACAGGCACACCTAAGTTACTGCGCTTGGCTTTACTGAGCATCACAGATCTGCGGTTTTCACACATTGAAGGTTTGCAGCAACCCTGTGTGGAGCAAGTCTGTGAAAGCTGTTCTTCCAATGGCATGTGCTGTTCACTTCCTGTCTCTGTCCCACTTTGCTTATTCTCACAGTATTTCAAACTTTTTCATCTTGCTGTTGCACACTTAGTAGACTGCAGTATAGTGTGAATATAACTTTTTAGCTGCCCCGGGGAAACCACAGAATTCCTGTGACTAGTGTTATTGCGATATTTGCTGTATTGCGGTGGTCTGGAACCGGACCCGCAATATCTCAGAGGTATACCTGTATCCCAGAATGTCCTAAGCACCACTGAACAGTAAGGGGAAGGGGAGTAAAAAAATTGAACTAAAAAAAGGGAAGACAATGGATGAGAGTGTCACCCTATTTAGGACAAATGGAGAATCCGTGAGTGAAGTTGTCCAAACTCTCCTCTAGGTGGAAAGGCCTGGGTCCTCGCTAGACATGGGAGTCTCCTTGATCCATGGGAATAATCCAAGTTGGCCAGTACAATATCCTTCTCAGAAGTGGCACAGAATAGTTCCATAGTGGTGGGGGGGAAAGAAAAAAAATTTCTGCTACAGTCACAAGAGGCCTTGTTCATGCAGACAGAGCCCCCACAGGTGCCCAGCACAACCTCACCACGCGGGGTTTCCACTCCCACCTGGTGTGTTCCAGGACACAGGACAGTTTTCCCCTCTTAGATTGTGCTTCAGAGTAACCCAGCCTCACCACTGAACTGTATGGCTAAAATAAAACATTGAATTTGTCACAAATGACCTCAAGGTTGAGTCTAAGGATGACAGGTTTTTCACAGAAGGACAAACATGGTATGAGTCCACAGTTGTAAAAAGGAAAGGTTCACATATGGAAGGAAAGTTTGTTGGTTACCAAGGATGGGAGGGAAAATTGCTGGCTAAGTAGAGACGAGTATTGATTTGGGTGAAGGGAAAGGCAATGCACTGAGCAAGCAACACCACACAGGAAACAGAAGACACAGGGAGGTGCACAAGAGGTGCAGGTAACAAAGGGGAACACTTCTACACACACAATCTGCGTTGTCAGGAATAACTGTGCGGGTGGATACGGAGGTGACAGACTGGACAGGTGTGTCTAGGCAAAAGGGAATATGCAAAGGACCATATATAAGGTTAAAACACTCAAACTCGCTGGCATCAAGTTGATTCTGACCCACAGCAACCCCCATTGGTTTTCCAATGTGGTAAATCTTTGCAGGAGTAGATTGCCCAGGCTTGCTGCTGTGGAGTGGCTGGGTGTGAACCGCCAGCCTTCCAGTTAGCAGTCACATGCCTTAGGCGCTGCACGAGCGGGGATCCTTGGGGTTGACTGACGATATTTCTACATACTTACTTGTCTGGGCTGTAAGAATGTCCACAGATAGAATAGACCTAATGGGGGACTGCTAACTAGAAGGCTGGCGGTTCAAACCCACCAGCAGCTCGGCTGGAAGGTGGGGCAACCTACTTCCGTGAAGATCTACCGCCTCGGAAACTGAGGGCAGATCTCGGCTTGGGGGTCGCTGTGAGTTGGAATTAACTCCGTGACAGTAGGTTTGGTTTTGGCTTTGGAATAGGGGGACGACTCTGCGAGGAGCTGACCTAGGGGAGGTGTGGTGCGAGGCCCCAGGGCCAGAGAGGGCTGGCTGAGCAGCGGCTCTGAGCAGCAGCAGGTGGCACACCCTTGGAGCTGCCTGCACAGGTGTCGTGTGTGCCAGGGGACGTGGGGCGAGCAGGCCGGGCGACCAGAGCCTGCTGCCGGGGCCCTGCCTGCGCGGCCTGCTATGGCCCCCAGTGCCAAGGTCCTTCCAGCCCTTCCTGCCACCTCAGCCACCGGCGGTTGATCCTGGAAGTGAGCGCTGCGTGGGTCGCCCTCGTGTGCCCGCTCCTCAGAGATCCCAGCGAGTTGCTGGAGAGAGCCACCTGGCAGGGCGACACCCAGAGGCCGGACGGACTCAGTGCGCTCGCTGCTCCCTTGGGTAATGAGCCACCTTCTTCCCTAGTCCTTGGCCCGCCTTACCAGGAGACCGTGGGCCTGCCCAGCGGGGCTCCAGTTCCACATCCGCCAGTGGGCTCCCACTAGGAGGGTCTACCAGTGTCGCCCACCCCGAGCCTACTCCTCCCTACGCTTGGACGTCAGCCCACTTACCAGTAGAGTGAGCCCTCTGGTGTGTGCTCAACTACTAACCTAAAGGTTGGTATGTGCTCAACTACTAACCTAAAGGTTGGTGGTTCAAACCCAATCAGCAGCGTCACAGAAGGCAGGCTTGGTGTAACTGGAAAGATTGCAGCCAAGCAAACTGTATGCAGTTCTACTCCATCTGTCACACATGGCGTGGCCCCCTTGTGTTGACTGTTATCATCAAAGACCATATGCCCACATGACATCACAGTCACAGGTAGAAAGGGTCAGGACTTCCACACTTCCCCTAGAGAAGGGTCAGTCAGGTGGTTTCCACGTGGGACCCTGTTCCTTCCAAGATCTAGTTTATGTGGACCCCTCTTCCCTGATGCTTGGTCCTCCCTGTCCTTCGGGAAGGACCCTATTGGCCCATGAGGCATGTTGGGCCCTTGTTTCAGTCACGTGTTGCTGGCCGAGCTCCTCCCTGGTGGAGATGTTTGACTCTCTCTGTTCTGGGTCCTCTGACATTTCCTAGCTCCCTTGACTTTCCTGCCCTTCCATTTTAATAAGTGCGACAGAACACACTACCTAGACGCTTCATAAGCTCCTGAGGCAGGGGTCAGTGCACTTAACCGAGCTGTTTTTTCCACCAATCAGAAAAATGCCTCCTGTCATTTTTCTCCAAACCCTTTGATAGTAATCATCCACTGGAGACCCACCCACCTCCTTCCATCAGACTCCACTGACAGGGAAAACGGGAGACGCTTTTCCCCTTGCCCTGGTTAGCGAACCCGTGGATGCACTACTGCAGCCACTCCCGGGGCGGAGCCCACATTGCCATGATGGCAATTCCAGGGAGAATCTCAAACCACATGGTGGCAGAACCTTCCAGGCCACTGATAGGTGACCCCCCCGGCTCCCGTGAGCTTGTTCAGCACAGCCACTTGGGAGTGACCACTGCTGTTTGCTACTCCGGGCAACAAAACACCCCCTCTCCAATGACTGACAGAGGCCTGTGATGGAGTGGCATGCAGAGGGCTGGCACAGCAGGGCAATGGTGAAGGGACAAGGCACCCAAGAGAAGAATGTCCTTCCTTAGGTGAGGGGACGGCAGGAAACAAGCAGGGAAATGATGCTCCTAGAGACCCCTAGAGGTGCAATGGCCGCGACCTGTGGAGACCCTTCCGAGGACTGAGGGGAAAGGGTGAAGGTTGGACCCCTGCACGGGGTTTGCCTTCCTAAAGGTACTTTTCTATCTACCAGATACCAATTTCTGAAATGGTAGCTGGAGAGCAGAGTCATGGCCTCGTGTCCTGGGTGTGATTGCAACTCAACTGTCACCACGGGACAGGAAGCAATTTCCGACAGCCCAGGCAAACCAAACCAAACTCACTGCTGTTGAGTCAATTCCAATTCATGGAGACCCTAAAGGACAGAATAGACCTGCCCCACAGGGTTCCCAAGGCTGTAAATCTTTAGGGAGTGCCACATTTCTCCCTTGGAGCAGCTGGTAGGTTTGAACCATCAACCTTTCGCTTCACAGCTGAGCATCTTCACCACTGTCATCAGGGATCCTTCTTCCCACAGCCCAGGTTATGTACTGCCCCAGATGGAAAGTTCCAATTTAACCACAAGACACAAAAATGCAAATAAATAACTTTATTACTCACAGGTCCCGGGGGTAGATGGCAAGCTCACAAGTCTTGGCACACATGGAGATCATGGGTGGAGCAATTGCTCAGACCTGGGCACAGCCTTTAAAAGGATCTGGAGGGATTTTTGCTGATAAGTGCCCATTGGTCCTTTTGAAACTAAAAAGCAAGAAGCAACACAAGAGGAACTGTGGAAATTATCTAAGTGTGGTGGCTGTGGGGAGCTAAGAAAAAGAAATGGGTGTTTTTGGCTGCATAGTTAACTAGCCAGAGTGATGTGCAGGTGCACCAGCTAACGGTGAAGAAGGAATGCCAAGACGTCATCTAAGATGGAGGTTGACAAATACAATAGTCCGACTTATGAGGTTCCTTCTAACGACTCCATCCTAAGTCAGTTCTGAGGTAAGCTGAATACCTAATTTTCTTTTAGTTTTCATTATTATTGCCTTTTATCATTATCTTTACAAGCCTGATCAATAAATCATAAAATTAAATATCTGTGAGTGAACATCTCAGAATAACATCAGTAAATTACTTCCTGCAACACTACATGCAGTACATATTACTAACTAGGAAGACTGAAGAAGAGTTGATGCTTTTGAGTTGTGGTGTTGGTGAAGAATGCTGAAAGTACCATGAACTGCTAAAAGACCTAACAAATCTGTCCTGAAAGAAGTACAGCCAGAATGCTCCTTGAAAGTGAGAATGGCCAGACTTTGTCTCAACTACTTTGGTCATATCGTCAGAAGAGACTATTCTCTGGAGAAGGATGTCAAGCTTGGTAAAGTGGAGGGTCAACAAAAGAGAGGAAGGCCCCTAACAAGATGGGTTGACATAGTGGATGCAGCGATGGGCTCAGGAATAGTAGGGATCGTGAGTCTGGCACATGATCAGGCAGTGTTTCGTTCTGTTGTATGTAAGGTTGCTATGAGTCAGAGATGACTCAACAGCACATAACACTACTAACAATAAAATGTACCAAAAAAAAAAAAAAAAAAAAAAAAAAAAAAAAAAAAAAAAAAAAAGATGGTCCTAAGTGTGGTTCATTTAACTCAAATACATCATAAGTCCTGTATACCTAACTTTTCCCCTAGGTCTGCAGGCCAAGTTTGGAGCAGTATCAACCATGTACCCAAGTAAAAGGAAAATCCCTCCCCTGGGGGCAGCAGGACAGGTGCTGCCTCAGGAATTTCCAAAGAGGACTAGAAGGCATTTCAGAAGGGCAGCTCCAGCAGGTCCCAAACAGACTGTTCAAGGCACAGGGAGAGGAAGTTAATGTCAGGCCAGCCTTGGAGGCAAGTGCACAGCTGAAAAGCTGAGGCAGTGGGGCTTGGGGCATCCGGCCATCAGCAGTAGACTGAGCTCAGGGAGGGCCAGGAGGTGCCAGGTGGGTCAGTAGGGCAATACAGGGTGTGGAGAGCTGTCCCAGGGGAGGGACAGGTGGAGCAGGAGTACAAAAGTATATGGAAAGAGGATCCATCTGTCAGCTGGAGATGCTGCAGGAGGTTCTGAGGTGGCCCTGAGGCAGGATCAATGACTGCCATGAAGGTTGAAGCAACAGCAGCGAGTATCCCGGTGGGATGGCTCACCACCACACAGGAGAAAGCAACAGAAAAACGCTGAGCCTCTGAGGTGCCACCATTCCACCAGGAGCTCAACCAGACATACAGAGGCAAGTCCACTTCCATTGGGCCCTCCATTCTGCTCACACCTGGGCACAGCCTTTAAAAGGATCTGGAGGGATTTTTGCTGATAAGTCAAAAGTAGTTTATCCTCAGAGGGACAGATGCCTAGTCCATGATTTGCCTTTCCTGCCCAGTCTCACCATCCAGGGCCTAGAGAAGGCAGAAGGTTTTGTCCCCGTTCAATGTTTCGTCTGTACAACAGAATGTTAGTTGTGGTTCTTAGGGTTGTCAAGTAGAGTTTGGACTCACAGCGACCCCATGTGACAGAACAGAGCTGCTCCATAGGCCTTCCTTGGCTGTAATCTTTCTGAGGACAGATCACCAGGTCTTTCTCCTGCAAAGCAGCTGAGTGGGTTCGAACCACCAACCTTTTGGTTAACAAGTGAACACTTAACTATTACACCACCAGAGCTCCTTATACAATAGAATACTTCCTACTCAGCAATAGAGAATGAGCTATTCATACACCCAACATGTTGCATGAAATAATTATGCTGCATGAAAAACAGCAGAAAAAAAGGTAACCACTTAATGCTTCCACTTACATAAATTCTAGAAAATGCAAATTTATCTACAGTAAAGCAATAGTTGCTTAAGGGTGAGAGGCTGGAAGGGCAGATAGAGAGGGATTATGAAGGGACACAAGGTAAATTTGGGAGGGACAGATACGTTCCTTGTTATGGCCAGAGAACCAGTTTCACAGGTGTATACATACACCAAAATTTACCTACTGAATTATATAAAGTATATGCAGATTATTCCATGTTGATTATGCCTCAATAAAGGTATAAAAAATGACTCTAGTGACTCTGCCATCTCACAGCTCCTGCTCTAAGGAGGACAGCTCCTCCCCAGTGGACAGAAGAATCTGATGAGCACTAAAGGCCATTTCCACCCAAGTCGGTGGGAACTCTGACTGGTTCACTAAAGCTACATCCCAAGACTGCGAGAGCTTTCTTTTCAGTGCTAGGGTTCTGTCCTGCACAGTAAAGATGCCCACTCAACCACACAGACAAAAATGTCTTTTGTGGCTGTACCACCCTGTCCCACACAGCCAGTGACTGGAATATTTGTGGATGTACTTTTGCATGGAAATGTTCTAATTTGCTGTTTTCCCCCCAGTCCTTATTATCTGTATCAATTTTCTTTCTTTTCTGGATGCTGAAGGTCTTACAGCCAGTGATCTGTGTACCAAAATGACCTTCAGGTCATATGGTCCTGGGGAACAGCTTCCCTCAACAATGCTGGGGAACACAGAACATGCTCTGGAAACAAGAGATCCAATTCATGCTGCTGCTTGCTCCCAAACACTGGAGGTTCTCCCAAAAACAGGCCCCTCCTCAAGGTGATGTCAGGGCCCACAGGTACCTCTGAAATCCAGACAAGATTCAGCCCACAATGCCCTGCACTCTTACCTGAGCAGCTTTCAGCAGCAATGGAAATGAAATCAAACTCTTTTCTCCCAGCCTGCTGTCTCTTCGGAGGTAGGTACACAAAGTTGGAGGTCTCAAGCTTAACTCAGTTCTCAAACTATCAGACACTGAAAAGAATCCCCAAGTTAAAGACAAGGTAAACAAGGTCTTTACTATTGCACTCATCAAAGCAATGTGAGGCAAGCAGTCCCTGGGTTAGGGGACTTGGGGGCTGGAAAAATTCATCACAAACATCATGTGAGACCAATGATGTTCATCAAGGAAGTAAACTTTCTCTGCAAACCACCAGAAGAGCACAGCTCAAGTTCTCTTGGCCAAGATGGATCCTATCCACACCTGTTCCAGTCAGAGGGGAGGGACTGAGGACCCCCACTGAACCAGGCACCTCAGGAGTCCACCCAGGGTATGGAGAAAAAGTACCGAGATCTGCCTGCCCTGAGGATGGTGACTAAGGTCCCGAAAGATGATAGAACTGAGATAATTTCAGCCCAGGCACTGGCAGTGACATAACTCTGGTAAGGAATGTGAGTTTAGAAAGTGCAAAATCCTTCTGCTCCCATGTGGCTACCACTCTCAAGGTACCTTACCGGTGTATATGCTTACACGGATCAAGTTTAACATGAGTGGCTCCCTCCCAAAGGCTAACCACAGGCTTCTCTCTGTGAGAGTCCTGTTGAGCTGAACAAGAATTAAGTGCACATTCGTAAATTCCACTCCTAAAGCCTTCCTACAGTGTGAACTTTCTGGTGCCGAATGAGGTGGGAGCTTAAGCTGTAAGTTTTACCACATTCACTGCACTCATATGGCCTTTCTCCAGTATGAACTCTTCTGTGTCGAACAAGGTGGGAACTTCTGATGAAGTCTTTCCCACATTCGCTGCACACAAAAGGCCTTTCACCAGTGTGAACCCTCTGGTGTGCCATAAGGTCAGAGCTCTGACTGAATAACTTCCCACATTCAGTGCACTCGTAAGGTCTTATTTCAGTGTGAATTTTCTGATGTTTAATGAGGATGTACTTGTGACTAAAAGATTTCCCACATTCACTGCAATCATAAGGACTTTCTCCAGTATGGGTACTCTCATGCTGAACAAGCGAAGATTTGTGTCTGAAGACTTTCCCACACTCACTGCATTCAAAAGGCCTTGCACCAGTGTGAACTCTCTGGTGTACGATTAGGTTGGAGTGATGACTAAAGTATCTCCCACATTCACTGCACTTATAAGGCATTTCTCCAGTGTGGACTCTCTTGTGCTGAACAAGGTTGTCTTTGCGGCTGAAGGCTTTCCCACATTCACTACACTCATAAGGCCTTTCTCCAGTGTGGATTCTCTGGTGCTGAATAAATGTGTCTTTGCGGCTGAAGGCTTTCCCACATTCACTACACTCATAAGGCCTTTCTCCAGTGTGGATTCTCTGGTGCTGAATAAATGTGTCTTTGCGGCTGAAGGCTTTCCCACATTCACTACACCTGTAATGCATTTGTCCAGTGAGAAAGACTTCCCCACCCTCAGTGTTCTTGCGTGTCTCCTTGTTGTAGGTGATCTTTTGCTGGAGACTGCTCGAGCTGACCTGGAAGTTATTCCACTCCTCCTCACTCTGTATAGAGGGTGTCTCCGGCAGGTAAAATTCTTCATGAACTTGGCACTTTTTCATAAATGAGGCTCTCCCTTCATTCCTTCTGCAGGGTTTCTCTACATTGTACTGCTTCAGATGGTGGTGAAGGTCTGCATCAAACCAGAATTGTCTCCCACATGCCCCACATGTGTATGGCTTCAGTTCCTGGTGGGTTCCCTGGTTTTCAGCTAGGTGAAAAATGTCTTTCAAGATGGGGCCACATATGTCACAAGGGTGGACCGTCTGGGTGGACAAATCTGCCTCGGGAGCACTAGCCTGTGATACTCCTTCTACAGAAACATTCTGCTCAGAAGATGCCTCTGCATCCGTTGTTCCACACCAATAGCCTGAAAGCAGAGAAATGCTGGTGAAATGCGCATTCACTTTGGTGGGAGAGGACAACCCCATCACAATTGTGTGCCTGGAAACCCAGTACTGAGTCCACAGGGTTGTTGGCAGAATGCAGCTGGGGTTAGGGTGAAGGAAGGGCTGCTGGGCAGTACTGGACTCGAAGGGTCACAGAATGCAGGAGGCCTCACAAAGGGCAAAGACAAAAGGCTGGAGTTAGCACAGGGAGGAGAGGTAGGGTCTCTAACCTCCTCCTCTGCAAACAACTTTAAGCAGGGCCCTGGCTGCTGGTGTCAGGTGAGCACTATACAGAAGTGTGTCCAGGCCCAGGAAAATGCAATTAGAAATGAGCTAGTGTTCAAGGACTACTTAAGGATATGTGCACATCCCATGACACGTTACTGTAGAACAATATAGAGAGGACTGCTGAGGGGGCAGTAAAGGGAATGCTAAGAGGCAGAGTACAGAGAAGTGGAGGGTGATTTGGAGTCAGAGATCAGAACACAAATGACAAGTGTGCAAAGTCAAGAATACGGAGAAAAGAAAGAAATGAGGTCTGGCCACTAGTGAGCACAGAAGTTTTCTGGTACTATTTGATCCCAACACTGAGGTCAAACCCTCCCCTAGCTTCCACTCACCAGGGTCGGGCCCATCCAATCCCCTTGCTGTGGCCAGAGTCATAGTCTCTCCATGAGACACCCAGGGCTCTACCCCTTGCTCCAGTTCAGGAACCACAGAGGACCAGGAAGATACAAATCCTAAGGGAAAACATGAGGCAAGTGAGTAGAAAGCACTGGCCCAGAGCAAATCACTCATGAAAGATCTTAAGAAAATGAAATATTGTAAAAAGGAATCTCAGGAATGGGTCTTACAGGGATCCCTGCTTGTTGAATCACACAAGCAATGACCGTGACTGCAATTCATAGCATTAGCAGACCCAAAGAGAAGTCAGTCAGATAAAGGGGCAGCACCTGAGGCACAAGAGTCCAGGGTTATGGACAAAGTCAGAAAGGCCAGAGAGAGGCCAAGCTGAGTATAATCTGTTGGGTGATGACAGGACTACTGACACTTCCCAACAAGGCTTAGGGACAGCAAGAGTTAGGAAGTTGGGAGAGGGCATGATGCACTGCACAGCTGAGCCTGGCACCCAGAGGACTTCTGTGAGGGAGCTCAGGGAAACAGAGCAGTGGCCACGGTCCTCCTGTGTGAAGCGGACAGTAGCCCTGGGGAAAAGGGGTGGGACAATACCTAGCCCAGGAAACTAGGGTATGTGAGCACCTTACCAAGTGAGGCCATGAGTGCCAACTTCTCCAGCATCACATCTGAGCCTTCTCAAGGAGCCCCTACTCTTCCCAGGAGAAGTACACAAACACGTCCTCCAAGGTCACATGGCCCTGCCAAAAAGCAGATAGCTGAGCTCAGGGATATTGTCTCTCTCCAGGACCTCCCCCGCTGCATGTGTGCGTGCGCACACACACACACACACACACACACACACACAACTTTTCCTCACTTTCCTCCCTAGATCCCCGCCTGAGAGGAAACACCAGGCCCTGGGGTGACTGATGCCCACTCCCTCTTCATATCCCCTGCATCATTTTCTCCAGCCCAGAACAGCAGCAGCCAGGTGGGCAGACAGACACCATATAAGGTCTAGGCCTGGCATGCAGGGCCCCACTCCTCTCCTGCCAGCCAATCCCATTGAGTCCCTGTATCATGCCTCTTAGATGCAAACTCCTCAGTATCTCCAAAGCCCTCAGTACCAGGACACTGGGGCCATGAATTCACACTTATCACCATGTGCATGTCACTCTTTAAGCCATATCCCCTTCATCTCTAGGGACACCTACATTATAGGGACCTCCCTGGCTTCCCCATGCTACACTGCACACAGAATCCAGAGAATATGTGACTAATGCAACCAGGATCACACCTGGCCCTAGTCAATGGTCCTACCGACATGGGTAGCCCTAGATCCAACCTTTAAGTTCTCCCTCCCTGGCCCTGTTCTTTGTTTCAGTGCTTCAATTTTAACCATCTAGAAACACATGCAGAACTCAGCTCTCTTCTACTTCTCTGTTGTACACACTATATCCTCCCCAGGCACAGCCTTCCTCTCAAAACCTAACCCTCATTCAAAGTCTACCCCCACTGGCCTCTCACCCCTTGCCTAGGGACACTCTCAGCTGACACAATTTTCCCCTGAAATTTTCCCAACATGACAAAAACTCCCCAGGGCTCCTCAAGAGCCCCCACAAAAGCCTAGTGAGCACACAGAGAGGTGGCCAGCCACCAGCGCTGGCCCATCATCTCTATTACTGCTATGCCTCAGTATCCATATCATGATATTCTCACCCTAGAAGACCACCACCTGCCGGAACCTCTTCTGCCCCCCACCCCATGGATACTTGTTAGGGACTGAATTGTGTCCCCAAAAAAATTTGATTTGTAAATCCTGGCCCCTACATCTGTGGATGTAATCCCATTTGGGAATAGGGTTTTATCATTTTAAGAAAGCCATATCATTGTAGGGTATGTTGCAAGCCAATCACGTTTGAGATACAGAAGCAGCATATCAGGCACAGAAAGAAGGAAGCACAAGTGGGAAAAGACTGAGTCCACATGGAGATCACCAAGGAACTGAGGGACAGAAGCTGAAAGATAAGGATTTTCCCCCAGAGCAGAGACCCTTCTGCTAGAGCTGGTAGCCTAAAGTTGGACCTCTAGCCTCCTGAACTGTGAGAAAATAAATTTCTCTTTGCTAAAGCCACCCAGTTGTGAAATTAAGTCAATACTACCCTTTCTTTGCCTTTTTTAAATTGCCTACCACCCCAACCAAGTTGGAAAGTCTAGAGCCCCCTAGTAGCACTGCTATCATGACATGGAGATTCCCACTCTAAATCTGAAACACAGCTCTACCCCAGTACACTATCTCATGCATGTCTCCAGCTGGAATTCCTCCCCTGAACTTCAGACTTCTTTGTCCAGCCGTGCCCTGCCACTGTCACTTGAGAGTCTCTGGAGCACTGCAGACTTAACATGGCCAAACCTCTAACTCCTGATGTTACCTCTGAAAATCACTCCGAGACTTCCCCATCTCAGTTGACTTTTCCACCCTTACACCTTCTAAGACCAAAAAACATCCTTAACCCCTCCCCTTTTCCCTCACCCTCCAAATCTGAAAATCCAGACAACCATCCTTAAAAAACAGATCGGTGAGCCAACCACATCTGCCACCTTCACCACCACCACCCTGGCCCAGCCATGATCAACAATTAGCTGGACTATTGTCATGGCTTCCTCACTGATGTCCTTCTTCCCTCCTCACTATCACAGTCTTTTCCCCTCTGTGCAGCCAGAACACAACTGTTAAGAACCACAGTCAGATCACTCCCTCCTCTGCTCCAAGCTTTCCACAGTTCCATCACTCTCAGAATACTGGCCCAGCATTTTAGGCTGCCATTCCAGGACTGACAACTGTCCCCCACTCTCTGACCAGACCAGACATAAAGGAGATCTGACGTTTCCTGAACAGTCTCAGCTCAGCTTCACCTGAAGCATTTGCACATGCTAAATTCTATGCCTGGGACACTGGTCCATAACTCATCCACTGCTTGCCAGAAATGGAAACCCTTCCATATAATCCCAGGGCTGAATTCAGGATACAGGGCCTTTGGTGCAGGATCTTGAGGTGCAAAGCCATGTGAAAGGGTAGATGAAGACTCCCAGGATACCATGATTCCCCTCATCAGGTTACCAAGATCAAAGAGGTGGGGATGGGTCAGGTGAGGGCCTGGGAAACTCTACACTCACCTGTGTATGGTGCATAAGTATATCTGTTGCCTGTGAACATGGCAGGAGGAGGGAGGCTGGGAGTGGCAGGTGACCATGGTGGAGTCTCCTAACCCCTGCCCTACCTTTGGCAGGATGATTTTAGGTTCTTATCTAAACTCAGAAACTCAAGACTTCAGCGCTGCCTTCTACTAGCTGTGCCCTTGGACAAAGACCTTTACCTCAGTGTCCTCATCTGTAAAGTGGGAATAGTAACAGTACCCACATCATAGGGCTCCAGTTTGTATCGTATACATTAGCATATGTCAAGTGCTATGAAATCAGCTACCACTGTCCACAAGTTTAACACTTTGGTAAAAGTTTTCTGTAATGGGTTTTTAAAACTTTGGGTGTGTTTCACTATCTTTTAAAGCTTTTAAGGAAATGCTATTTTAAGACTTTATACTGTAATCAAATACTTAGAGGCAAATTAATGTCTCATCTAATTACTGTGTGTGTTTAACCTGTTACATTTATACACTTTTAACTGCCTACCTCTGTATACAGATGGACACTAGTCTATGTATCCATCCAGCCACCTACTACTTACTGCTCTAAAGGTAATTGGGGTTCATCACCTTTCCTTATCTGAGGACTGGGCGAATTGAAGCACCAGTGCTGGGTGGGAGCTGGGTGAGGTCCACTTGCCTGGCTGAGCTTTGTTTTGCTCCAAAGGCAGTGAAGGGTGGTGAATCTACACCACCCCACACCAGTCTCTAAATGTCCTTCTGTGGACACCAGTCAGATCTCTTTCACGTTCTAGGGTTCCTCCCTTCTAAAAGGAGTCTAAAGGACACCTACTCTTTTTTCCATGCCCTCCAATGCCAGCACACTTTAGGGATCAAATGAAATAGCACCCTTAAAATTCCTGGCTCTAAATGCTATCTCTAGGTACAGACTTTATTCAGAGCACCATTCCTCATCCCCTGGAGACCTCTAGCCCAGCCCCCTCCCCAGAACTCCACACCTGCATGTTCTGCTGCCCAGATGATGCCTCTACCCCAAGGTATTTCTTAATCACCTTGTCCACAACTCAACTCCTGTTCCCCATGAAATGTGCTCCCTATTCCGATCTACCCATCCCAATTCTTTCGATGTTCTGGGAATAACAAAATAACAAAGGGTCAAAACAATATGGACAGTCCTCACGCTCCACTTCCACACGTAGCCACATGTGATGCAGCAGGAAATTCCACCCTTAAAAACCTACCCAGAGTCAAGTGCCTCCTCCCCGTCCCCCGGCACTGCCCTGACCTCGCTCCACCACACCCCCGCAGTCTGCTGCCTCCTCACTGGTCTCCCGGCCTCCCTGTCATCCGTACCTCACACTTGTCTGTTCTCCGCTAAGCACACTTTGAAGTATTTTCACAGTTCTCAATCAGATCATGTCCCTTCAGTGTGCGAAACCCTCCACGGCTACACCTCCTCAGCCTGCCCCTCAGTGTGACGATTCGAGACACTCCCTGCTCCCTGCAGATCTGAGGACCGCACATGCCCCCGGTTCAGCTGCAGCTCCAACCCTTGGCACTTGCTGGCCCCTCCGCCTGGAACTCTCTCCCGCACACCGGACACCTTACGGTCACAGCGCATCCCTCCGACCTCCCTCAGGGCCTGCAACACCTCATCACACGGGCTGCAGAAATGACGACCCCCACCGACAACTGCTTCACTGTCCTGGACACTGGACAGTGACCTGAGCAGACGCTCCTTCTCCGGGACTTGCCTCGGAGTCGGCGTATCGAGACGCGAGAGGCCCTGGAGAATGCCGGGTCCATATCATCAGGGCCGCCGCCGCTGAGAGGCGGGCGGTCAGGTCAGAAGCCGGTCACTCTCCGGGCCCCGCTGCGCCT